TGGAGCTGGGACTAAACCCAGGCCCTGCACATGATATGAAATTTCCCTACTGCTGAGCTACACTCCCAGTCCCAATTTTATTGATTTTTGTTGTTGCTTTTTGTACTGGGAATTGAACCCAGGGGCATTAAACCACTGAGTTACATCCCCAGAACTCCCCCCTTTCTTTCTTTCTTTTTTTTAAAAATACCTTCATTTTATTTATTTATTTATTTTTATGTGGTGCTGAGGATGGAACCCAGGGCCTCGCATGTGCTAGGCGAGCGCTCTACCGCTGAGCCACAACCCCAGCACCCACTTCCTTTTTTTGAGACAGGGTCTTGCTAAGTTGCTGAGGCTGAGGCTGAGGCTGCCTGGAACTTGTGATCCTCCGGCCCCAGCCTCCCAAGTCACTGGGATAAAAAACACCCAGCTTTTCCTAATTCTTGAGATGAAGCCTCAGCTCACTGACTTTTAGTTTTCTTTCTTTCTTTTTTACCATTTAATAAGCTTTCTTTGTTTTCAATATGCATTGAAAGCTACAAATGTCTCTTTATAAGTATGGCACTAATAACGTCTCAGAAACTGACATGTAGAGTGCATACTAACATTTAGTTCTGTTCCATGTGCTTTCTAACATCTGTGATGATTCTGTCATTAGTCTAGGGGTATTCAGAACTACATTTCCTAATTTTTTTTTTTTTTTGTACCAGGGATTGAACTTAGGAGCGCTCTACCACTGAGCCACACCCCCAGCCCTTTTTATATCATTTTTTATTTTGAAACAGGGTCTCAATAAGTTGCTTAGGGCCTTACTAAGTTGCTGAGGCTGGCCTTGAACTTGCAATCCTCCTACCTCAGCCTCCCGAGTCATTGGGATTGGTTCATTTTCTTTTATAAACACATTTCCGTGTTGTAAGCATGAGCGACACACTGACTCGTTTAACCCTCGCACAAAGAGGATGTATTAACCTCCTTTAAAGAGGAGGCCAGGGTTGTAAGAAGTGCTGTGGTGTCTTAAACCCCCATCCCACTTCAGGCCGCGGCTCGCCTGACCTGTGCTCTGGACGTGTTCTCTACTTTCTCGTTTGGGATCATCACAGATGTTTTCCCCCTAGATCATGCTACTTATTTTTGCTTAAAACCTTTTTTATCTATTCTTGTTTTTTGTCCTGAACAAAATGTGAGCTGCAGGAGAACAGAGGTTTGTAAGTTTTGTCTGTGGCATCTAGAGTGTTCCCTGTGACAGAAACACCCCACAGGCTGTTGCTAGGTGAGCACGGTTTGCCGCATCACCAGCGAGGGCACCCTGGAGGACAGCGGCTGATCAGGGTCCTAGCCACCACCCGAGTGTCAGAAATTTCCCTACACAATGTTGGACCATTAGAGAGAGAAGCTAGATCCGTCTTAAGTCTGTCAATAAGCTTTTTTTTTTTTTTTTTCTTTTCTCTTTTTGAGGCAGGGATTCACTATGTTGCTCAGGCCAGTCTCCCAATCCTGGGCTCAGCCGATCCTCCAGGCTCAGCCTCCAGAGTCAATGGGTCTCCAGGCACAGGCCACCGTGCCTGGCACTATCAGTTCTAAAAGGCCATTTCAGTTACTCAAGTCTAAGTTCTTAGTCCTGCAGAAAATGTAACCACTCATTTATTAAACAGCATGAAGTTTATTATAGTATACTAACTTTATATGTTTGGTCCCATATGTAATAATAAAAACTATAATAAATGCATGGAACTGGGCATAGGGGCACACGCCTGTAATCCCAGTGGCTCAGGAGGCTGAGGGTGGAGGACTGAGAGTTCAAAGCCAGCGTCAGCAACTTAGCGAAGCCCTAAGGAACTTATTGATACCCTGTCTCAAAATATAATATATATAAATGCATGGGAATATTGCATGATACCCAATAATATGTATAATTTTTATGTATCAGTTGAAGAATACATTTTAATGAGACTACAAAGCAAAAATTCCATTTTGTGTAAAACAGTTAATTATAGGTGTTCCTATTTTTTCCTACTGTCACCATGTTTAAAAAGTGACCTGTGTTTTAGGAGCTGCTCTACCAGAGACAAAGGAACTCCTTTTTTTTTTTTTGGTACCAGGGATTGAATTCAGGTGCACGTGACCACTGAGCCACATCCCCAGCTCTATTTGTATTTTATTTAGAGACAGGGTCTTGCTGCGTAGCTTAGTGTCTCACTGTTGCTGAGGCTGGCTTTGAACTTGTGATCTTCCTGCCTCAGCCTCTGGAGCTGCTGGGGTTACAGGTGTGTGCCACCGTGCCTGGCAGGAATCATTCTTTAAAATGCACTTTTGTGTGCAATTAGGCTGTTATTCTCTTACCAGGTTTGTTGGCATTGTTTTGTTGTATGATTGATTTTCTTCTTCTTTTTTTGCAGTGCTGGGTTTGAACCCAGGAACTCATGTATGCCAGGCTCTGCCACTGAGCTACAGCCCAGCCCTCGGCCCATCTCATAGAGCACTAAATCTCAAATCAACAGATGATTCACCTAACTCACTCAGAGGCAGGCAAGGTGGGAGAAGATTAATAAAGCGGTCTTTCAATCGGGATGATTAGCAAACTGCCCCGTGAGGTGTGGCGAGCTTGATTCTGAACGTGGGCAGGGCGAAGTCAGCAGGGCCGCGGATGTGCAAGGCCCGGGGCTCAAGGCCCTGCACAGATACACAGCACAGAAGGAATGCGCAGGACAGATGGCAAAAAACAGATTTTTTTGCATGTACATTAACTTATCATCCCCGAGATCAAACTCATAAAACAGCTCAGCACCCGGGCACCCGGCGGCAGCGGAGCCTCAGGCCAACTCTTTTTAGAACCCAAGAGCAGCTGGCAGCGTGCGGTGGGGCTTCCCGGGAGTTGTTTCCTAGAGACCAGCAGAGGCGACCTGGGCGCGGAGCAAGGCTGCTTGTCCTCGGATAGGAGGACAGTAGATCTGACCCAAAGCTGGGTGGGGAAGGGAGGGGGAGGGAACCGAGCCTCTTTCAGTTGGTGCCAAATATTCACTTGTGATAAAAGGAGGTGTGTATTTTGTTTCCAAAACCCAGAATACAATCTGGGTTCTTATTCTTGGAATAAAGGGAATCCCCGAGGTGAGAGTTGAGCAACAGCAGACCATGACCAAACACAGCCCACCCCGAGCTTCGTCATCCGTCACATCATCCACTCTACCTTTGATCCATCTCCTTTTGAATTTCTTTATTTAGTTCATCGACTTTCTGTTGGAGCTTTTTCCTCCTTTGTTCAGGGGGGAGGTTGCTGAAGTCCTCGGGGGTGGCGCCCTGCAGAGGCAAACATGAGTGAGAGGCCAGGAAGCAGAGCGGGTCCGCGCCAGGCCACAGACACTGCACAGGTGTCTGCAGATGGCTCCCCAAGTAAGCAAAGCCTCCCCCCCTCACCCGCTGGGATGCGAGGGTCAGTGCATGCAGACTCTCACGACCACCCATGCTCCACGCCGTGGCCGAGGTTTGGGAAAGGGAAAGAGCAACGAGGAGGGAGGGAGGTGAGAGGCTCGGACTCCAGCGAGACCGTGAAGAACCCTGGAGTGGAGGTGGGTGTTCCTGTCTCCTCTCTGTTTTGGTACCGGGATCAAACCCAGGGGTGCTCAACCACCGAGCCACATCTCCAGCCCTATTTTTTAAAAACATTTTTTGTGTCAATTTTATTGAGGTACAATTAGCACACAGTAAGATTTGCCAGTGTGTGTGTGTGTGTGTGTGTGTGTGTGTGTGTGTGGTGCTGGGGATCGAACCCAGGGCCTTGTGCCTGTGAGGCAGCACTCTGCCACCTGAGCTCTAACCCCAGCCCTCACAGCCCTATTTTGTGTTTTATTTAGAGACAGGCTCTCACTGAGTTGCTGAGCACTTTGCTTTTGCTGAGGCTGGCTTTGAACTCGTGATCCTCCTGCCTCAGCCTCCAGGCTGGGACGGCAGGTGTGTCTGTGGCCCTTTTTATTGGTTATTTTCAGACAGGGTACTGCTCAGTTGCTGGCAGTCCCACTGAGCTCTAGGCTGGCTGTGGACTTGTGACCCCCTGCCTCAGCCCTGGATCACAGGCGCAGCCACCCTCGGGCTGGGGGCAGATCCTGGTGGATCTTCCTGGGGCCCTGCCTGCAGCAGCCCTGCTGAAGTTTCTGTCTCCTTAATGTCACTCAGCGGGGCTCCCACACACCCACCCACCGCTGCCCAGGACTCTGCTGCTTTCCCCTGGTCCTGGGAAGTGACACAGGGGGCCTCTGGTGCCTCAAAGAATGGGTGAAAAGGACAAAAGTCCACCCTCCCCTGCCTCCCCCTGCTGTGCTCCTCCTTCCGCGCTCTCTCAGGTCTGGTCACTTTGCTGCCTTAAGGGTGGCCTCAGGGCATTGGGAGGGGGCGCCCCTCCACCCAGCCCGAGCCTACTTGCTAGAAAGCTGCCCGACTGTGGCATCCAGGGCTTTCCCTTAAGGGAGGCTGTTCCACAAAGAAAGACAAATGCAGACGGCCGAGGATCAGCCAGGAACGAGGGAGAGATGGCACTTGAACACCTCCGTTCTTTTAAAATAAGGGCCAGGCTGGCTCGGGCTGGGTGGCAGGACATCAGGCCGGGACGGCCAAGCAGCTTACTGGGGGCTTGTGACCGATTATGACAAAACGGCAGGGGGCCACGCTGCAAAGTGCGTGACTCAGCAAATAGCTGGCCACCAAGGCCCGCGAAGGCCTCGGCTACTGTTCTCAGACCGGCCTGTGACACACCGGCCTGTGACACACCGGGGCTCCCCCTGGGGTTCCCCCTGGGTCCACGTGAGAAGGTGGGGGAGGTGGATTCCCATTCCCAGCACCAAGCCAAGAAGGTTCCCCTGGACGCCCAAAACACAAAAGACTCATCTTCAACATAAGAATCAAGCGGGCCTGGGGCTTTCCAGACGCCGTCCACCCCACACCGGAACCCAACTGCTCTCTGCCTTCTCCTTTGCCAGTTCAAGCCCTGGACCAGAGGGAGACGCTGTGCTGGACCACCCACAGCAGGTCCGGTGCTCTCCAGAACTGGGGCTTTCTTCTCTTTCTGTACCAGGGGCTGAACTCGGGGTGCGCTTCCTCTCAGGGACATCTTCAGACCTTATTATTTTTATTTTGGGACAGGGCCTTGCCCAGGCTGGCCTTGAACTTGTGGTCCTCCTGCCTCAGCCTCCTGAGTTGCTGAGATTACAGGCGAGGGCACCAGGCTGGGTGATTTTTTTTTTTTTTAAAGTCAGAATTAACAACAACAAAAAAATAACGCAATGTAAGACACAGTGCTTTGGAAGTCGGGACATCAGGTAAGTGGTCACGCTCCTTCTGTTAACATCTGCTGGGCCGAGGGACGTGCCCCGAGTCCCACAGAACCCTCTGGGTGACGGGAATGTTCTATAAGAGCACCAGCCACGCGGCTGGAAGGACCATGGGACTGGACTGTAACGTGTGCTAGGACAGGTGTCAGAGGTACGCAGTGTGTGCACAGCCAAAAAGAAATCGGGAGGCCACCACGCACACTGCACGGATGACTTACAAATAGATCTCCCGAGTGACAAGAAGCCCACAGATTCTTTAGCCAAAGCAGAACGATGAAGTGATACAGGAATGGATTCTTTTCAATTGATAAGATAGTCCATCAGATCGACCACTTAGGTCCCTTTCAACCAACAGTCTGTGCTTCTGTGTTGTCACTTGGGAACCAGTCTCCTAGCTGGGCATGGAGGTGCACACCTGTGATCCTAGTTACCGAGGAGGCTGAGGCACGAGGATTGCAAGTTGGAGGCAGCCTCGATATCTTAGCAAGACCCTGTCTCAAAATAAAATAAAAATATGGGAGTGTGGTTCAGTGGTTAAGCACCCCGGGTTCAATCCCCAGAACCAAAATAGACTAACAAAAAAACCAGTTTCAGTAACTGTGCCTCAAACAAATGTCAACTGCCATCGGAGATTCAGCTTCTTCTGAATCCAAAGGAAGTCAAGCTTCGTGGAAGTACCTTACAAGGCCACTTCATCCACTTAGCCCTTCAGAGCTTGGGTTCCTGTGAACAACACTCTGACCTGTGATTCATTTTGCCATGGAGGAATTTTTATTTCCAACTCTGAGTCAGAAGAGACTTCTCTGCCATCTTTGGAGCAGCCCTGTTGACGGAAGCAGGCTGGACCAGGAAGGACAGGTCCTACCAGACACACCTACGGAGGCTGTAAGTGGCCAGAGTTCTGTGTGACGCTGATCTTGTTTCACACACGGGTTGAGCCCCACACTTGCCCCTGGGCCACTCCCTACAGGTGACACAGCCACGGGACCGCAGGCTCTGGGCAGTTTGGCAATGCTTACACTTCACAGGTTTCTAGGAAGGGGTGTGGAGCCACAGCTCGGAACCTAGTGAGTAAGAGGACTTCTATTTCAAACAGACTGCCCCAAAGGACTGCCTTCCCCATCCACAGCAGCAAAGAAACAGGAGAGGGTAGAAGGGAACCCTGGCATCTGGGGAAGGCTCCGGGTCGGGCAACTCCATTTTACCCAAATTCAACCTGTGGACAAACGCATTTCATTTTTCTTTTTAATAATTCCAATCAAAGGCTCTTGGGATTTTATTTCACAGTCTGAGATATGTTTTTATTTTATGTATTTTATTTTTTAAATTTAGTTTTTAGTTATACATGGATACAATGTCTTTATTTTACTTTATGTGGTGCTGAGGATTGAACCCAGTGCCTCACACATGCCAGGTGAGTGCTCTGCCTCTCAGCCACAACCCCAGCCCTGAGACATGTTTCTAATAAATATTTTTTTTTCTTTGTTTCTGCTAAGTCATTGAGGCTGGTCTCTAACTTGCAATCCTCCTGCCTCAACCTCCCAAGTCGCTGGGATTATAGGTGTGCGCCTGCACATTGGGCAAAATATTACTGTTTTTTTTTAGGGTTGGGCCAGTTGCCAAACACTGAGTCAGGCTGGAAACACACATGTGTCTACAGACACATACATGGATAAGTTACACATGAAGGTCAGCACCGTAGACTGCCCTGGGCCGGCAGCAGCAGTGCCCCCACTGTGCTGGTCTTATTCCTGGCTAACCGGCCAGTCTCCTGCTGTCCCCGAGTTGAGGATGTTCTCACCTGTGGCATTTGGCAAGATCGTGTAACCTTTACCCATCGCTGAAGCAGAGTTATGGGTTACGTTGGTTAAGAGTTTCTTTTAATAAATTTAATGGTTAGTCTGCCCATTTACCAGAGCAGAGGAGGGACAGCACAGGACAGGGCCCAGGAGGGTCTCGGCACTGTCCGGAAGGTCATCGCCTGGCCTTCAAGTCAGCTCTGCGCAAGACTCCAGCATGTCCACAGGGCGCCTGGAGGCCAGGGCGGCTTCCCTCCTCCAGGCGCCTGGAACCCGAGCAGGCGGGTGGCTGCTGCGAGTCTCTTTGGGTTCCAGTGTCTCTCAGCTGCTTCCGCAGCTCTAGGAGGGGAGCATCTTTCACTTAGTAAATCTGCTTTTTTTCCATAATGGTCCAATAAGTGCCCCCCTCCAATTTTGGACATGCCCATAGAGAGTCACCACCATGTCACCCTCTTAGGGCCCCAATGACACAGAGAACCAAATCATGGGTTAGGTATTAATTTCCTTAGCAACTGGAAGAGATTAAGACCACCACTATTAGGCCCCGGACCTCATGCCCACAGGTCAAAAGCTCCCAAGAGGAACGGAAGGAGCAATTAACCTGGGGGATCCGGAGCCAAGGCCCCGCCTCCACCAGGCCCCCAACACCTGAGTAGATCAGGACATGCACGGGACGTTGTGCTTACCAGCTTGAGAGAAAGCTTCCCGTGAAAATTGAAGAGGTGACAGGGAAAAAGAGAGAGAAAACAACACATCAGAACAGGAGGCCCAGCCCGTGTCCACGTCACACACCACAGATGCACCCGTGGGCCGCGAGGACGACCTGCAGCGGATCTGTGCAAAGGTTCACAAGAGGGTCTGACCCCAGCAAAGCTTCTCCTAGCTGCTGCAGCGCCGGCAGAGTCTGCGACAGTGGGCGTGGTCCCTCAGCCTGGGTCCGGATAGCAAGCTGGTACTTGGGGACATGGAGGGTGATGGGGAAAAAAACAGCCACAGGGCCAACCCCGCCCCACGGCTTTGCACAGGGCTTATCAAGTCTACACATCGGTCACTCGAATGGACATGAACCTTGGCGTTCCGTAAAGGCGTGAAGGGGACTCTGAACTTAGTGAGGGGGAAACAAGGATTAGAAATTGTTCTATGAAATGACCTGCAGGAGCCAGTCCCTGTGTTCTAGAGAGCACAGGGACAATACCAGAGCCCCAGCCACCACCTCCGGCCAGGGGAGGGGTCTTCTGGCCTCCCAGCGCTGTCCCCGTGGACTATGAAGCCTCGGGAGAATTACTGGGAGTTGCCGAGGGTGCTCCTGACTACGGATCCCTGACGATCATCAGGCCACGGCAATGCGATCCTGCTGTGCCTGGAGACTGGGGAGGGACAGTGATTACTGGGCCAAAAACAGATAAAAGGGTGTCACCAAATTGGAAAAAGAACGTGGCTCTGCATTCAAGGTGCATGGCTGAAAGTGGCCCTTGGAGAGTCCAGGGCATGATGTTTCCTCCGTGGCCATCAATCCTACAAGTTGAGGCAACTGGTAGTAGGGCCCCAGAATAATTTGGAGACAAAGTACCAAAGAAGGTGCCCTTTGATTTTAAATGGGCGGTTACTCAGGTTTTTGAAATGCAATCCTTAAGATTGACTGAACGCTGACACTTCTTTGTAAATAGGCAGTCACTTTGATGAGCAAGACAACTTTTGAAGAAAAGAAATAAAAGCCTCTCCAGGCACAGGTGACAGGTGACCTCTGTCTGACAGGGACTAGTGACGCTCACCGCCCAAGCCTCCTGGAGCCTTGGCCCAGATCCGCTCACGGTGACCTGAGCTGGTCACACGCAGACAACACTGAGGGTGCACACGGAGACTTTCCAAACAGCTCTCGCCGAAGCCCTCGGGCGCACGCGGCTTCCCGACTCCGTCTGGCGGAGCTCACTCAAGGCACGGACACAAGGACTGGACGCGCTAGTCGCCCTCAACTCAGCTGCTCCTGTCACTTTCGTTCTTAAGGGTTCCCAAGACAGACTTCTAACCTCAAAACTACATGGTCGGAAGATTACTACCTCCTAATAAAAAGACACGGACAGGATCCAACATGGATCCCGGCAGACACCGGAAATACCCAGTCCCCAGAGTCCATGGGAAGCGCTGTCCGGACAGGGACCTCCTTTGAAGGATGATCAACTGGTTTTCAGTCTTAATTTGTGAGTCAGCCAATTAGATCCCTCGAAATCAGAGAGCTGACCATCAGCTAGGAGAACGACTTTAAAGGCTTCACCCAGTGCATTGCCAGGCACCTGAACCACTCAGAAGCTGTCCCTTTCAGGCGACCAAGAGCCTCGGGGCCAGAAGCATCAATAACACATGAGGGAACACAGCGCCGGCAAAGCCCATGTGTTATTGGACAGTCACAGGTACTAACCTCAAGAACAAGGAAAGGGGACATGAAAACCGCTCGTGAGCACGTGTATTTAAGGAAACTCCTTCCACTAGTGTGTGGCTCACGCTTCGTGGGCTTTTTTCGTCCCAGCTTTACGGCATAAACCCCTGAGGGATCTGTTTGTTAGAAACCCGGCCGTGGGCGACTGAGCCATGGGATGGCCACCTGCCAGAGCACCGCGTCCGCGACCACGCTCTGCGGCTGCGTTTTAATGGGTGAGATTCTGTGGCGAGATCATACCCGGTGACATCTCAGACAGCAGTCACCATCCCTTTAAAGATCTTGCCAGAACTAGAATAAAAAGTGGGGAACCCAGCAAGAAGAGCCTGCTGCTTTTCCCATGCAAGCTTTTCGGAGGAAGCAGCGGTGGAACTTATACGATCAGGCTCTTCCCCGCCCTGCGCGGGTCTTCTGAGGGGGCATTGCGTTTGGTGGTGTGGAAGCACTACAGGTACCCTCGGGTCCCAGCCGTGGTCCTGTCCCTGGGGTTAGTGGCTGTGCCGTGACTGCGTGACCTGCTGCCACAGATAAACTTACAACATAGTCCCTAGCCTCAAAGGCATACGTGGGTTTCCCTAGCGTCCTCTTCATGAGTTCTTTGTGTAAACAGAGAGACTGAGTCTGCCAGTGACCAGCAAGAAAACAAGATAAAATAAACAAAATTAAAGTAACCACAAGATTGTTCAACCCACAAACGATTGGTATGGCTTTTCAAAATCTTTTGATCATCTTTGATTTTTTTGATGCTACATTTCCATACAACTAACTCTAAAATATGGGGGGATGTCCATATTTTAGATATAGAAGTCCCTTGCATAGGCCAGGAGAAGAAGTCTTCATTGAAGACCAAAAAACTACACTTTGTAGATTATAAACCAAGGATATACGACTCTCTGGCTTCATTTTTCTTTGACTTACGTGAAGATGAGACAATAGTTAAATGTCTGTGGCATACCAATCTTTGAAGATGCTCAGAAAAACAAAATTTTCTTATATAAACGCCAATGGCTTACAAAAACAACAAAAAATTCTATCCTGTTTCATCATTCAGAAACAGAACCGGTCATGCTAAGGAACGTCTGCACAAGAGCCATACTCTCCGACAGCTGAGTCAGCGACTGAGACCTGAGCCCAAGGACTGCAAAACGGGAGAAATCAAGACATGGGAACCACAGCTTTGTTATTCTCCTAGGATACTTTTTCTAATGAAATCATCTTTGGTAGGACAGTCTCAAGTTAAAAGAGGAGAATAAATAAAATGACAGACTTCGCCACCTCAGTCCTGAGGCTGTGGGTGTCCTTTGGGGACAATGGGCACCTTCTCTGCTGAGATGGCTTTGAAGTCAAATCCATTTCCCAAACTTTAGGTTCACATGTTTTGTCTGAACGTCCTGGTATTTCTTTTCCTTTTTCTTTCTTTCCTTTTCCAGTTTCTTCCTAGAGGAATGAGGGGACAGCAAACATGACCCTCACTAAAAATAGTCTGACCAAAATGAGGAAGGAAAACCATTTCTTTACCAGTGCTTCCAGTGCGTATGTGTGTGGTTTGCCCTCAGGAAAGAAAAAAAACTAACAGACACTCGCTGAGCACAGATGTGAAGAATAAGAAATAAAATTCATTTTGCTGATTATGATAAAAAAAAAAGAGGATTTTCCTTTAAGTCATCAAAATAAGCCAGTTTCCCGTTCCACTGTTTGGTTTTTAAGTATTTTTTTTTCTAGCTATCTTTTTCTTTTACTTAGGAAAAACTGACGTCCTTGGGTCTTTCCCTCCACTTCCTTAGGGATACCATGACACGGATTCAGAAGCCACCTGCAGCGGCGGGTGAGCTGCGGAGAGACGCAGGAGGCAGGTACACACACAGGGGACCATCCAGAGGGACCACTGCGTCTTGGTGAAGGCCTCGGAAGTGCAGCCATGGGTGACGTGTCACGGACTCAGAGCTACGTGGCCCAGCTCGCCTCGCATGCTGGGAGCGATTCCTCAGCCAGCCCCAATAACAGAGCTCGACTCCGTCCGCCATCCACTCCCAGAGCCACACTCACCTTCAACAGTGCCCCTGGACAGCTTCAGGATATCAGATTTCTAGCTCATCATTTGATATGCGGGGGAACCTTAAAGCAATCTAATTCCAAATTCTGTGCACAAAACCTTGAGATTCTCTCATTAAAAGAACTCTACCTATAAAGAATTGTTGTTTTTGTCCCTTATTATAATAGCTAATAGCCTAGTTATCCATCATATAAATGACTCTACACACACAAACACATACATACTTATGTATCTTAACTTTCTTTTGACATCGAGTACTTTTGTAGACTCAGAGGAATAAGGACTGTCAGGTTAATGGTTAACTACTGTTATTCTCTTACAGGTATCTAGCAGATTGATTCAAAACCTGAGCAGGACACTGGTCATCCTGAAGCAGTTTTTCTCCAGAATCTCTTCTTGTGTCCATGTGACCCTCCAGAGGAAAGGCCAGAACGTCTGCAGGTTCAGTTCAGCTCTCTGCTGGGCCTGCCTTTACCTGCAAGGCCTCCCACTCTGGCTCTGGGGTGACCTCGCCCTCAGGCACAGTATGGAAAGAAGTGACCCAACTGGAGGTCCCAGGGCAAGGGGAGAGTGAACTCACGTGGGTCCAATCAAGCCTTCCGTTCCAGCCCAGTTTCAGCTCCCCAGGGAACGGGCCAGAAAACCCTACTGCATTTGTCAGTGCACTAAATATGGATGTATGGATATTTCCTTACAAGAGATTTCATTATAAGAGACATTTGGGGCAGCATTGGACTAGACCTACCCTTTGGTTTTATTTGGAGGCCTCCGATTACTTTGACCTTTTTTCATAAGCCAAACGGGAATGTAGATTGGATTAGCACATCAGGTCCCGAGGCTCAGACACACGAGATCTCAGTAAGAACGGCAGACCTGAGCTTCAGTAAGAGCCTCTGATGCCTCAACCACATTCTGGCAGATTCTCCCCGACCGTGTGGTCATGGAATCTCAGACTCTGCAGGCGGATCCCTGGCTTCAAATCCTGCCTCCGCATCTCCCAAATCTCACCTCTTTCTGCCTCAATTTCCCGGACAGCAAAGTAGGCAGATATCATGTCTAGAGGGGTGAGAGGTGAGCCTTCTCAGAGCACCCAGGAGCGCCACGCACGGGCAGCCAGAGAAATGCAGGTGGAGCGCCCCGACCTGAAGTGCTCCCACCAGAGGTGGCTCAGGCTCCACATTTCCCCCCAGATTTTGAAATATTGCATATTCTAAGACATAACGAGACATCCTGCAGGGGCACCCAAGTCTAAAACTGAAATTCACGTGTGTTACGCACACATCTCACACATGTAGCCTCAAGGGACAATATTTCTAGGGTGCTTATGGCTTTTTGGGGTGCTGGGGAAGAAACACAGAGCCTCGAGTGGGCCAGGCAAGTGCCCTCGCCCAAAGCCACCAGCCCCTGCACCTGGGTGGTCAGCTTGGAATCTTCACCCGCAGGGCCACGCGGCCACTCAGAAAGCTCCGGAGGTTGAAGCACTGGGTGACTGACTGTGGGTCAGCGCTGCCTGGCCTATGCTGTGCTGGCCTCCTGCACTTAACCGACTCTCATAACTCACTCACATCGCTAACGAAACCGCTGCCGTGACATTTCCCCTTTGACCCCGAGACGCAGCTCGAGAGAAGTGGCTCTGCTCCACGTCAGTTCAGGAATCACTAAGCAAATATTTTCTGACTCCATGGCCACTTCCAATTCCTCATCCCACACGTGGTTAGTTTTAGAAACAGAATGGTTCCCTTTTTTGGTGAAATCAAGGTGAAAATGTAACAACTTAGAGACTTTCAAGCGGAAGTGAGGAAAATCCTTTTGAAATGCACTGGACACAGGAAGTGCTGGGGGCTTTCTCTCTCCCTCTCTGTTCTGTCTCCTGCTTTCCTCCTCTTTCTGTGCTTCTCTCCTTGAACGAGCCCCGATTCGTCTCACCTTTTTTCTTTTTTCTGTGTTTGTTGTTATGGAAAAACACAACGAATTCATTCACAAACAGATAAGTTAGGCAGGACACAACGAGCCAGAGACAGTGCGCCAGAGAGACAGGACTCCGGAGCGGAACTTACCCCACGCTTTAGGCTCCTGAAGCAGTGGATTTTGGGTTTGGAGATCATGAACTCGTTGAAGCGATGGGAGAGGGGTTCCTTTTGCTGCTTGGGAGACTGGGGGCCGTTGGGAACAGCAGAGGGTGAGGCAGAGGCGGGGGGAGGAGGGGGAGGCTGATGGGGGGATGTTAAGAGGGACACAAGCTACGTGTGAGAGATGCAGCAGTGACAGAGTAAAACCAGAAAAAGAAGATAAGACACAAAACAAAAATAAACATCAAACGGCATTTGAAATCCAAAGCAAGTCAAACACAAACCATTAAATATTTAGGCCATGGTCCAACAGAAAGCAGGAAGGAATGTCAAATGAAGGACAGGGTGGAAGGGAGAGGGTTAGTCCGTGGCGCGCAGAGGCGAAGCAGAGGCACCGAGGGGAAGCCCGCGTGGCTGGCATGCAAACTACGGCTCTCCATGGTTACTCCAAAACCGGCTTAGGGCGGAAGGGGAGACGTGTCTACACCACCTAAACTAACACAGCTTGATGGGAGGAAATGAAAGGCCTTGATGCCAAGGTCGTGGAAACAGCGGGACAAGGTCTTTCTAGAATTAAACAGACCCGCTAAGGTTAGAGCCGTGGAGCCGCTTCCATCTAAGCTTATGCGGAGGGAAACGCTGTCATGCACCTATGTTACCACACTACGGAAAGAAAATGGAGAATGTTCATGGAGACACATGTTAAGGGGGATTCAAAACCCAGTTATTGCCCAGGGCCACAGGTTTAATCAGACGTGCTGCTAATGGTTATAGAGGTGGCGTCCTCACCCCCACGCAGGTACCCAGCAGCCTCGGGGGGCTAGGAGTGAAAGGGCAAATGCACAGGGACAGGGTCAGTAATCTGTTAGTGTGGATGACACGGTACAAGTGAGAATGCGTCTGAAATAAGACAGTGGGCCATGGCAGCACTACCACCGACAGCAAGGCGGACCGGATCTAAAGTAGCACTCTAGATTTCTCTCTCTTTTTTTTTTTCATTCTGAAACTACAGATTTAATATTTTAATTTTTTTTTAAACCTAAAGTCCAAATCTCCACACTTTATCAAATTCATTTTGCACTGGGTCCAAACCACCAGTACCTTATTTTTCTTGATGAACGGCCATAGCTTTCCTTTGGATTTGCCACCGAATTTGAGCTCGGGCTTGCCGTCTCCTCTGGAATTTGAGAGGCTGTTGTCGGACACGGTGCGTTTCATGGGCTGCGTGTAGTCCTCAAATTCAATGTCTCCGGGGGGCTCAAAGCCCGACTTATAAGCTTCTATTACCAGCTGTGAGTCCTGAAATCAAACCACAGACGCATCAGCCACGCACAACAGTCCCACCCGGGAACCCCGCCCGGCGCCCTCATATGGCGGGATCTACAGGAACCGCGCGCTCCATCTCAGACTTCCAGACACTTCTCCACCCTGGAGGAACAAACCGAGTTTAAAACCACATTGTGAAAAGCAGGAGGAAAAAAAGAAAGAAATCCATGGGCCATGATTACGCAATTCCCTTGATAAACAGAGTAACAGAAAAACCTGGTTCTGGCAGAAGCTTTGGAAGCGCTTCGGCACGCGCTGGCCAAGGCCGGAAGAGACCAACTCGTTTCTCGGGTCACTGGGTTCAAAGACCCTGATCTAGAGCCTGGCGTTCCCTGGTGTGGATGTTTGCCCACTAGAACACGAGCCCTCTTCTGGGTCCTCTCTACTGCGGTTCCAGGGGATCCCGGGGGACAACAGGTGTTTGCTGAATAAATCAATGAACTGAGCGTATACTCCACGGCGAGGAACTGTGGGTTCACAACTTCCCAGGGAGCCCAGAGCCAGACGGCGGAGACACAGTTGTAAAGAAGTCACAGCCCCAGCGTCTCGAGCGCCGTGCTATAGATGGATGGATTGGCAGACAACGACAGGTGGCGACCCAACTCTGTGACCTCACAACAAGGGGGGCCCGGGTTCTTAATGAGATGGGTTCAGCTGGCCATCGCTCTTCTAGCTGATCCTGAAAGTGCAGGTGAGTCGCGCTCCCGACGGACTTCCAACCACAGCCACCTGCCTTCTCGGTCCTAAGAGCTGACTGGGCACACTGCCCCCGGACAACAGGCTTCACTGCTTCGCCTCCTGAACGGCAAGAGGTAGCTGTGTGACTAAGTTTGGCCTCCGAGACAGAGGCAGAAGTGCACTGTGTGATCTTAGGAATTCTTCTTAAGGCAGTGGCATGAGCCTGTCTCTGGATTCTGTTTTCTGACATTTGGATGTGATGGCTGGAGCTCCAGGTGCCACACTGGACCATCAGGTAGAAGGTCACATCATTATGAGCACAACAGCAAAACTGGGAGCTTTGCATCCTCTGATCCCATCTAAGTAATTATTAAACTGTCTCCTCCAACTGCAACGTCACTTCCTGATAAAGTACCTGTCCCCTAGTCCCGTGCCGTTTCTTCCTATCATTCTTTCCTACTTCATCTCTCCCAAAATGCTTGTCGTGTTTACAGTTCCACACACGTTCTCACTTACAGCAGTGCCTGGCTCTTGTTAGGAATAAACAGAAGGCAGTGGCGGGCTTCAGAGCAAAGAGCACAGGCTCCAGGCGTCTAATGGACACGTTTTGAAAGGGACCTGGGCAAGACTGTAACCACTTTGGGCTCAGGGTTCTTCTCCGTAGGTCACACTGGGGAGGACAGGCATGGAATGAGGCAGGGGTTCAGTGACACTCAGTGCACCATGTTATAAAAGCACCATGGAGCCAGGCGCAGAGGCCCACACCCACTATAATCCCAGTGATGGAGGAGGCTGAGGAGGAAGGACCCCAAGTTCAAGGCCAGCCTCAGCAACTCAGCAGGACCCGGTCTCAATATAAAACAGTGGCCGAGGGCTGGGGATGTGGCTCAGCGGCCAAGGGCTGGGGATGTGGCTCTGTGGCCGAGAGCTGGGGATGTGGCTCCGTGGCCGAGCACTTATTGAGCATGTGCAAGGCCCTGGGTCCGTCCCAGCATGCACTAAAAACAAGTAGACAGGAGCCTTGGATTTAGCAACAAGAGTATGAGAAACGATTCTTAGCGACACGGTGGAAAAAGAGGCTCCTATAATGGGGGAAAATTCTAGAATCTGGTGTTGGCTCATCATTTCCCAGATAAAACTAAGCAAGGAACACATCACTCAGACAGACTCTGGCAAAACCGTGGCTGAGGGGTCTCCCATCTCCTAAGAGGAGACCTTCACACCAGGCTCCTTAGATCTTCACCGCTGCCAGACGCCTGTGAGGAGCCAGACCCACACAGAGGGCGTCCACGGTGGAAGGCCACGCTTCCCGGCTCCATCGCGCCCTCAGCCCTTGAAAGACCCCCGGACATGACTCCCTGGTGATTACTCCCGGGGAGGCCTAACTGTGTCCCTTGTCACAACTGGGGGACCACCACTGGCATCTGGTGCCAAGTATCTTGACAGCCCCACAAATGCCACTTACAGATTTTCTCAGCCAAATGACAAGAAAATACTTGGACTTAATCCTGCAACGTCACCACCGTCAGTTCACCAATGTGTTTTCTGCAAAAGGGATCAGAGCCCCGAGCACGCCACGGAGGGGCCCCTTGAGAGCTCCCGGGGGGCTGCTGCAGGAGAGGCCTGGCCACGAGGAGGTGGCCCTGGCAGGCGGAGGGGCCCTGTCAGGGAACCACCGCATGTCACTGTGAACAAAGCCCAAAGCCCGCTGCTTACGCTCTTCTGGTTGATGGCCTCGGCCGCCTTCACTATCCCGTCCAAGCACTTGCCGATGATGGGGATCACCTGCCGGTCCACCTCGGCATACGTCTTCATGGACTCCCCGATCCTCACGATCCGCCTTTCCTCCATCTCTTGGATTTTCTGCAACGTCACAGTGTGTTTAGAAAACCTCGGTCCCTGAGGTCGGGGAAGTTGTTTGGGGCCACACTGTTACCTAAAATAAATCCTCTAGGGGGAAAGGCCTGGAGGTCACGTGTCCTGTGCCTCTATACTAGCCGGCTGTAGACACACCTGATAAACTGTTAGGCGGCCAAGTGAGTACTTCGCACAATTCCATTCCATTTCCCCCGTTGTGGTAGTTTATTATTAACATCATTTGGTAACACGCTTCAAACGCCTTCTCCATTTTCTTTTTTAGTACTGGGGATTGAACCCAGGGGCACTTGATCACTGAGCCACATCCCCAGACCTTTTTCATCTAGAGGCAGGGTGTCACTGAGTTGCTGAGGCTGGCTTTCAACTCGTGATCCTTCTGTCTCAGCCTCCGAGGCGCTAGGATTACAGGTGGGTGCCACGTGCCCGACACGTCTTTGATCCCCTCTTTTACTCTAGACCAAAAAAAGCTCAGCCCATGGCTGTCTCAGTGTAACACAGGCTGGAGTAGAACTAATGTCCCTTCCTTCGGCCACCGGGGGTTCTCGTGTGCTGTGGGTGTAGATGCCAACAAGCCATGTGATGTCTTCCTACATCTAGAATTGAAGTCATGAAAGATTCCCCAGATGGAAGATGTACTTATCTTTTCTGATGTGTGTGTGTGTGTGTGTGTGTGTGTGAGACAGAGAGAGAGACTAGGGATGGATCCAGGGCTAAGTGCCTGCTCTGCGAACACTTTCCCACTGAGCCACACCCCGCCTTCTCTCGTCATTTTTGACAACCTAAAGTAGCCAAAAGAAAACAATCAAAAGGAAAGAATTGTCACTGATTCAGATCCTACAAGTGTGTGGATGTACGCTGTTTTCTTAAGTTGGCATTTTTTGTAGGTAGAATGGTTCTTGTAGCAAAGAACTAAAATGGTCCTTTTAGTTAAGACTGGCACACAAGCTCATGCACTCGCTCGCGCGTGCGCGCACACACACAGATACACACACACACACACACACACATATACACCAACTGCAGGCACAAAGGGGGTTGGCCAAGGCAACTCATTGGTCTTGAGAGTAATATGACATCTCCTTGCCAGGGGCAGTGGTGCATGCCTATAACCCAAGTGGCTTTGGGGACGTGGAGGGCGGAGGCAGGAGGATCACAAGTTTGAGGCGAGGATCACAAGTTTGAGGCCAGCCCCAGCAACTTAGCAAGGCCTTGAGCAAGCTAGTGAGACCCTATCTCAAAATAAAATTCAGAAAGGGCTGGGAACACGGCTCGGTGGTTAAGCGCCCCTCAGTTCAATTCCTGGCACCCAGATAAATAATTAAAAATAAATCACATCTCGTTCTTTTCGCTAGCCAATGCTTGACCTATGATTCTAAAAATGACTCACTGGACATCGAATTACAGAAACACTTGGACCACAGGCCCAGTGGTCCCGATCCCAAGGCGACACGTTTGCACCCAGAGCACGTGTGACGCAGGAGGTCCCGAGGCCCCACCTGGAAGATGCTGGGGATGTGGGTGTGGTAGTACTCGTGCTGCTCCTGGTTGAACTTCTGAAGGCTCGACGAGTAGTCTGCCTTGCTGTCCTCTGCCATCTGGTGACGTATCTGAGCTTGCTGCCGAGCCTGGGGGCCAAAATGGGGACACACACACGTTTATGCATGAAAAAGAAGGAAAAAGACCTTGAACTGCACACCGCAGCCGAAGCCACCCCAAGTGGCTGGATTTCTCAAGTGCTGTTTTTTTTTTTTT